TCAATTTAAGTCAGTCATGTCTTGAGACTAACTTACATTGCTTGAATTTTTCATAAACTTCCCTTTAGTTTTACATGTGTATATATTCAAGATGATCTATGAGTTTCTCAACCCCACCACAACTGACATCATGGACAGGTTCATACTTTACTGTGGGGCTGCCCTGTGCATCACAGGGTATTGAGCACCACCTCTGATGTCTACCGAAAGAGAGGCCGGTAACAATGCCCCAACTAGGAAAATCAAAAAATGTCTCCAAACACGGACAAACATCCCCAGAGGGACAAAAACTACACCCAACTGAGAACCACTGGTCAAGGACTAACAGTCTGGATTCTGCACTCAATGCTAAGGATATTCTAGTGCAATTCCTCTAGTTCCTGTTTTTCTATTTGGAAACCAGACAAAATGTGAAAGCAATAAAAAGTAACTATCTCTTTATAATATTTTCCACAGAACCTATAATACTGTGCTTTCCCACCTACTATTCTCAACTAGTCTTCACCAACCAGGGTACTATACCTGATTTAGAAACCAAATATGCAGGGGGTGTGGAGGAGTGACAGGGAGTGAGACTCTAAGTGTTTCAACGACTCGCCTACCACAACATGGTTAATAACTAGCAGGGCTGAGACAAACCAGATTGAGGAATTCTTCATTTTAAACTTCTATCTACACTACCTTACTCTATAGCGTTATAGCATTCAAAGCAGGAGCTCCTTGGAGAAAAACCTTTTTGATATGACAGTCTCAATCCAGATTGTTTCTGGTCACACAGCACATTATAATGCCTAAGAGCAAAGCTCACAGGAAAATTCCACATCCAGACCAACAACGTGAACTGGTTTGCAATGTAGCCAACCTGCATCCCAAAGAGTAATTCAAGACAGGGACTAGTCTCCGGGACACACATCACCTTAAAAGGCCTCTCCTATCCTAGTACTAGGAAAGCATTAAGAGGTTCCGTGGTCTGACAAAAGGCCTAAATCAATCTGAAGCACAGGAGGGAGGTGTTGAGGAGAAGGGGAAATCAAAACTCTAAGACAGGTGGCTGCACAAAGGCTGGGACACCTCAGAAAGCAGAGATTTCCTAGAATACAGGACATGTGGGGCAGTGAAGAGACCTGGACTTCAAAAATCAGAAGACCCATCATGTGGGCCTCATCTGTCGGTACCCTGGATAAATCCCGTAAACTCAGGCCGGTTTTCCAGCGCATCTGTGAAAAGACCGGTCTACTGACTTCTTCGGCACCTTCCAGGGTTTGGAGAGATGCACTTCCAGGTCTCCTCTCAATCTCAAAACGCAGCACTGTGTTCTTGGTATGGTTTTCACTACTGCTATTTCTTGAGATGTTTTAAGCAGGAACATAGCACTAACTCAAATTCACTAGAAAGAAAATCAAAACGTCACACAAGTATCTGAGCACTGAGTAGTTTCAATTCCAAACAAAGAATATTTGCTGAGGGGCCAGCTCTCTGCACCAGGGACCTTGTAATCACACTGGAAATCCACAACCAACATCCCAGGCTCTCGGAATACCTAGCCATCCCCACCTGTATTCAACTACTGCATTATTTGGTCTCCTAGGGCCAATAATTAAAGATTTTAACCCAATATACCAAGACTGTCACAGAAATGCATGTGTGCGTGCTTAATCATGTCCAACTCTTTTGCAACCCCACAGACTGTAGCCCATCAGGCTCCTCTGTCCATGGGATTTCCCAGGCAAGAACAGTGGAGTGAATTGTCATTTCCTTCTCCAGAGGATCTTCCCAATCCAGGGATCGAATTCATGTCTCCTGCTTTGGCAGGAGGATTCTTTACTGCTGGGAAACCCATCACAGAAATAACAAGTATAAAAACACAGAGGAAAGGCACTCCAGTATTCCTGCCTGGGAAATCCATAGATAAGAGAGACTAGTGAGCTACAGTCCATGGAGTGGCAAAGAGTCAGACTTGACTTTAGAGACTCAACAACAATTTTTAGCTTTAGCTTTTTTGCCTCCACATCACCCTGTTAGTATCATTCTGCCTTCTGTTTACCATTTGTTTTGTTTTGCCTGCTTCTTTTATTCCTCCTGCTAAAAAAGAAAAGAAAAAAAAAAAAACACAAAGGGAAAAAGTTTTTTTTAATACTGAGTACATTTTAAATGCTGACATCACATGTCTACACTAAACAAAATATATGACTTTTAATAGGATGCAGTCATTTTAAATAGAAAACTTTATTTGTATAGGAAAATATTGGTGTTTTGAGGCGTTTTATTTGACTAAGCAATTTATTTTCAATACCATGCTGCCAGTCCAATCTTATTGTTTTTCGGGTAAATACTAAAGTCTATGTATAGATTTTTTTTTCACCGAAACTATCAATTATCATTTCATTTGTGGCTATCTTTTCTATTACCAAAACTTTTCTTAAACCCTGGTAGATTTTTATCTAAAGGCAAAAGTTTTCTGGGCTCACGCTAGTTAAGTTAAAAGGTTCCAGAAAAAGAGTCTTGTGTGGAAAAAGATTTCCCTTAAGCAATGCAATGCAGCAATGGGTTGATCTATTATTTTGCAACTAGGTATGCAAACAGGATCACCTTCTGAAGGGGAGACACAGAACAGCTCCACAAGTCAACTACTTCAAAACTGGAAAGCATGACTATCTCAAATGTTGCTTTCATAGAATAGACCAGACATTTTACTGCTACTAGATACAACTACAGGTTCCTAAAATTTTACCTACAGCTATTTTTTTAATATCTACATACATTCTTGATGCACATATTTTACAATCTCATTTTCGGATCCACTTGTCTTTATTTCTAATGAAAACTGAAGATGATCCAAATAGTCTTAATATTTTATACTGAGAGTACAGGAGTCAAAGCTGATTGTTTTCACCAAAAATGAAAAAAGAAAAGGTAGCTTTAAAAACAATACATGTAAATTTCTAGACTAGTTGAAAAAGGAACGCTCAAAAATTATTCAAAGTGCTTAACAAAACTGCAAAATAGGTTTGGCATGCATGATCAATTGAGTTAGTTAGGATTCCTGGTATGTAAAGTTAGGACTAGTATAAAAAATACATCGTACTTCTCTCCTGGTGCGATGTTACAAGTTGCTCTATAAGCACGACCAACTGGGCTCTACGAATGACAGACAGTACAGCTATCCTCACTACTAGCCTGGTTCTAAAATTTACCCCAAAAAAAACCTTATGTAAAAGTCTTAACAGAAGATTTGTAATGAAATAAAATCGGAGTAAGACTGCATTATAAAATGAATGACTTAAAACGTATTTTCGTACTTAAAAAACTATGTGACCACTCCAAACGAGCAGTATTTTGAGAAAGTATTCCAAAAGTTTTACAAACACGTTAAATACAATATGGCTACAACAGCAAAGATTAGACAAATCCGAACCCAATGCCAGAAACCAAGCCTCCAGCTTCCCGGATTGAAAGGCTGTCCGCCCCACCTGAGGCGGTTAGATCTACCCCGAGACAGAGGCCAGTATCTCGGCAGCAATTTAGGCCTCTTCCTCCCTCGGGGAAGCGCATGACAAACAGGGCTTCATGCAATTTATGTCACCCGGTCACTTAGCAAAAATCATATCTAACTTCTATACTTGGGCCCTGACGGCCTTCCATATTTATGAGGAATAGAGAGCAGCGAAAGTGTTGGGACAGAAACTTAAAATGCCCCTTTTCTGACCCTGTAAAACATTTAGCCCATCATTAGATCTGAGTCCTAGATTCTCAGCCTTGCCTAATGGAGGCTTCCCTCAACCTCCTCGGAATCTCTGTTTTGCAACAGCGAAGGAACTTTTCCTGCTCTATCTCAGTTCCCTGAGAGCATGCGGCCTTGCAACTCAATATCCTAAACTGGCAGGGAACGGTGGAAGAGGGAAGGGGAGGAATCCGGAGCCAAAACAGCCTCCTTATGAAAGACCAAAAAAAAAAAATCATAATTCCTCCTCCGCCTATAGCAAAACCCACCCCAGAAATTTACAGCGTGTTAAGAAAAGCAGCACTGCGAACTGCAAACGTAAGAGTTTTCCTTTGAGTCTACGCACGGTTTTCAGCTGTCAAATTACAACTCAGGAAAACACTATCATTAGAATAAAAAAGGAAACAAAAAAGCTCGCACCACAGGGACTGGCAGGAGCAGGAGCTGCCAGCACCGTTCCGAGAGAAAACAGAGCAAAGGGAACCCAATCCACTTCCCTCCCCCTCCACCCCCCGCCTCGTCTAAATTCATCCCCTCCCCGGACCGGCAAACCTCACTGCAGGGGCTCAAATTTAATAATAATAATCATGGCGCTTCCTCCCTCCCGCCACCCCACCCGCGATCTGCCGGGAATCAGCTTCTCCCACCCCGGCCCCCCGACCCCACCCCGCCCCGCCTCGCCTCCCCTCCCCCCGGGAGCTCCAGGCCCACGCCGGTCCGACCACCCCACCGGACACAGCTCCCGGCGGCCCGGGCGAGCCCAGCCTACCCCAGGGCCCCTCGCCCGGCTTCTCCGCTTCCCTCTCTCTTTTTTTTTTTTAAACCTCCACCATCCCCCATCCGCATTGTCTGTCTCAATTCAACTTTGACTAATATGGATTCCTCGGGCCTGGCCCGGGCGGAGATGAAGCTCCCCCCACCGGGAGCTGGATACCCACCCGCCGCCCCCACCTCCTCCTCCCCAGCCCGCGCGTCTCCACCGAGTTCAACGCGGCTCCTCCGTGGAGGCGGGGGGACCGGGGGGCGTTGGAAGGTGCAGTGCGCTTCCCCGTCCACAGCTTGCTTCCCCGGACCCCGCGGCCTCTGCCCTCAGGACCAGAAGTTTGCCCCGGAAGGGGCCTAGCACGGGGGCAGTGAGGACCCCCGCCCTGCCCACCGCCCGCAGGCCGGCGCGTAAACACCGGCCGCCGGGCCGGTGCGGCCCCGTGGGGGAGGGGAGGTCAGGGAGGCGCCCCTCCCCCCGCCGCCCGCCGGCCCGCCCGCCCGCCGGCCCTATTACCTGTCATTGAGCTGGTCCTCAGTGCCCGGCAGCGGGTGAACCACGAAATGGATGGACGTCATGGTGCTTCCTTCTCGTCGTCCTCCCGAGGACGGCCCCCTCCCGCTCGGCTCCCCCCACCCCCGAACCCCTTCCCCTCGTCAAAACCCACAGCCACAGCCGCCGCCTCCTCCCGGTCCCCAAATGAGAGAAGCAAATGCGCAGGGGCCGCCGCCGCCGCCGCCTCCCTGCCGGGCGTGTGTCCGCGGCGCGGCGGTCCGGCGGGGCGGGCAGGAGGGCGGATCAACACGCCACCCCGCTCCCTCAGCGACAGCACGGAGTGCGAGGCCGGCGGCCGGGACCCGGGGCGCGTCGCCGCCGCCGCCGCCGCCACCGGCAGCCGGACGTCGGGGGAGAGGGGCCCGACTAAGGAGGGGAGGGGGACGGGCTGCGGGCTGTGGGGCCGGTGTGTGGTCCCGGCGGCGGACGGGGTCCGGACTAGGGAGGTGGGGAGGGAAATGAGCCCGCTCGGCGCGTCACTGGCGAGAAGAAGCCGCCGCCGCCGCCACCAGCGCCGCCGCCGCCATCTTCACTTCTGCCCCAGTTTCTCCGTCTCGCAGGCTCCGCTCCCGAGCGGCGGGGGAGGGGCGAACGGGAGGAGGAGGAGGAGGGAGGGAGGAGACCGGCGGGCGGGGAGCTCGGCCGCGAGGGGGCGGGGCTCCGGGAAACGGGCGGCGAGGCCCTGCCGATTGGGCGGCTCAACCACGGCGATGTAAGGCGCGCGCCGATTGGGCCGTTCGGCTCCCGAGCCCGGCCCCCCCCCCCGGGGGTGGGCTCGCTCCCGAGTGAGTGTTCCGGAGAGCACGTGTTCGGGACAGATGAGGCGGAGGGGCGAGCCGGCTGGGGCGGGGAGTCCGGGAGGAAGGCTGTGTGTGTGTCCCCGGCGCGGTGGTGGTGGGAGGGAAGAGGGGCTCCTCCAGTCTCGCGCTCTGATTTCCCTTGGGGCAGCCCTAATTATTTTGCGGACCCTTAGGGGTTTTCTGTTGTTGTTTCTCGTCCTTCACATCCGCAGTTATATTTAAAGTGGAAGTGTAGAAATCTGTTAAGGGGCAAGAAACGCACAGCGTTTTATTGGAGAAGTAAGGTAGTTATGTAAGGGCCTTTCCAGAAGGTCCAATCGTAGGATTATAGAGCTGACTTTGCAGCAACTTCTTTTTATCACCCTGATTTCCTCAATCCCACCCCCCGCCCCGCAACCACCACCATCACGTATCCACACAAAGACAAAATGTGGAAATTTCCACCAATTTCCTGATTTAAATGGCTCATGAATTTTTAATGCTTTAAAATGAAAGATGAAATATCTATTTCATCGAAGATGTTTCGTTCTTCAGCTTATGATCAGTGGGATCATAAGGGCTAATTCTTGAATAGATTTGCTTTTTTCTAGGGAACCAGTTAATAGATTTTTTTTTTTTCCTCAAAGGCTTCTCTGGCCCTTTCAAAAAATCAAGTACCTCTTTCAACAGAATAAAAGTGAAACCATGAAACCTCTTTCTTCAGTATGTTCGGTTAAATTAAGGGTTCTGTGAAACGTTCTTAATTTTAAATATCACTTTTCTTCTGTTAGTGCATTACACATATGCACTTGCTTAGGAAGTTCTTTTGAACAAAATATATGACTATTTATAAATCAGGATAGAGTAGGTACCCCTTGAGACAGATAATGGAGCACTTTTGTAGGTCACCAGCTCCAAAATGGCCCAGATTAGACTAAAAAGTGATTTCAAGGCCACTATTTATTAGAAATTCGTGGGAGCCACAGGGAAGCAGAGTAAACCAATGGACACTTAGTTTTAGAGCCAGAGGGACTTGAATTTGTGCCGTTTCTAATAATTATTAATTGTGTGGACTTGATTATATCATTTAACCTATCATAGCATCTTTTTTTCCTCATTTGTGAAATATTCCGTAGTAATAGAACTACGTAGGGTTTTGGTGAGGCCTAAATAAGATAATGTATGTCAAATACCTAGAGCACTTCATAACAGTAATGCCAGCAAGCCGAAGTTTTTATTTGTCAAGTTGCTCACTGTGTGCCACTTGACAAATATACGACTTGACTACATACCACTTTATACACTTATGTCTTTTATTACTCAAATTACATTATGGAGTAAATAATATTATCCCCATTATATAGATGAGGATACTGAGGCTCAAATACTTTATAAGTGCTGAAATTGAGACCTAATAATTCCAGGTCATCTAAGTCTGATTCCATTGCTCTTTCCACTATACCACAACTGCCATCTACTTAATAATTTAGAAGGAACAGATTATTCAAAGTCAATGGGAAAATGTGATATGATAAATGCAATAAGAGTGCTATGAAAGTTAAAGGAGGAAGTGGTTCCAGCCAAAAGAATTAAGAAAAGTCATTTCATCTAAGCTTTCAAGAATGTTCTGGGAAAACAGAACATCCAGTTTAAACTTAGTCATTTTAGTTGTACCCCTGGACAAACTCCAAAGTCCACGCCATACTTTTGCTTCATTTCTCTTTCTTCCATATCTGTTCTTCATCTTTTCACTGTGCTTCCACCCTGCTTTCAACTTGATTTACCAACTGAGATTTTCTGTCCTGGTTGAAGGCTGGTCTCACCACTCTTTGGCAGCCCATTCAAACTGCCCACTTGGTCTCTGACTGACAACTATCTTGGCATTGTCCAGGCTACCGTGTTAGAACCTTCATCTCCCCAACACTACGGTGGGTCACACTTTGAACCCAGAAGAGTAAGAATAAAGGCACAGAGTTGTGTATCACATGGATGGGGAAGGAGGGAATACAGATAGGGAAGGGAAATAAGCAAGGTTCAAGCAGAAGCTTCTTTGAAAAGCCAAAGTACAATACAAGTTGAGAAAAGAAGGCTGGAGTAAGCTTCTTTTCTAACAATTTGAACTAATTTCTTTGAGGACAACTAAAAAGTTAACCAAAAATATTTCTTTAAACCTGCTTAAAAGAATAGAGTTAATAAAATAATGATGAATTACCACACTAGGATCCAAGGGATGAATAAGACCCAAAGAAGTGAGTCCTGTGTTTAGAGCCACATTTCCCCCTGGGATGAATGCCAGTTCCAGAAAGACCTAGTGAGAAGCCAAGAAGTTGAGCAGTTCTTCTGACAAACTCTCAGAGCTAAGACAACAGGGACTGATGTCCAAGGTTCCCTAATGCAGTAGTGAGTGAGTACTAATGAACTCCTCTTACTTTGTGTGAAGCTCTAAAGGACTGCAGCTCTGAAATAAGCCATGTCTTAGATTTGGTTTCCCCCAAGACATACCTTGAGTCAAGGATGTGGCCACAAGTATTTAGGAAGTGACTGCAGGAAGCACTATATGGAAATGGAGAAATGAGACAGCGAATGGAGAAAAGTCAATAAAAGTGGGTTGATGAACGTTTTGCCACTGTGGACAACTGCAATTCAATCCCACTGTGGACAACTGGAATTTAGTCCCACTGGCGGTCATCAGAGAGGCTGTTAGGACGTATCTTAGAATTAGCCCCCTGAGCGGAGAGGAAGCTAGAGGTATTTATCCATTAATTCTACCTTTCAGTAGTTGAGGGTTGTTCCTGGGGTGTGAATCCCCTTACACTAAGGCCAAAAAATAGCATCAAGAATGAAACAGACAAACAAAAAAGGAATGAAAGAAACATAAAGATACCTGGGTGGGGGGGGGGGGGGCATATTGAGAAAGAAAGAAAAAGAAATGTGAGAAATTTTAAGCAGTTGACCCATACTAAAAGGTATTAGGTAAAAGGAAACTGATTTCCTGGTATAAGCTCAGAGAGGCGTAAAAGGATGAAAAATAAAAAGGGAGAATATGTAGGTATATGAATGTTAACTGAGTAAACAACGGGGCATAAAATTCCAAAACACTGACTATACCAAATGCTGGCAAGGATGTAGAACAATTAGGACTTTCATTGATTCCTGGTGAGAATGCAAAATGGTACAGCTATCTTAGAAGATAGTTTAAAGTTTCTTACAAAACTAACATACTCTTAACATGTGATCCAGGAATCATGCTCCTCAATATTTACCCAAAGGAGTTGAGAATTTATGTCCACACAAAAACCTGCACACAGATGCTCACACCAGCTTTATTCACAATTGGAAGCAATAAAAAAGTCCTTCAGTAGGTGAATGTGTAAATAAACTGTGGTTACATCCATATAATGGAATATTATTCAGTACAAAAAGGAAATGAGCTATAAAGCATAAAAAAGACATGCTGCTGCATTGCTTCAGTCATGACCGACTCTGTGCGACCCCATAGACGGCAGCCTACCAGGCTCCACCGTCCCTGGGATTCTCCAGGCAAGAACACTGGAGTGGGTTGCCATTTCCTTCTCCAAAAAGACATGAAGGAACCTTAAATTCGTGTCACTAAGTGAATCTGCCTGCAACACAGGAGACCTGAGTTTGATCCCTGGGTCGGGAAGATCCTCTGGAGAAGGGAATGGCAACACACTCCAGTATTCTTGCTTGGAGAATCCCATGGGCCGAGGAGCCTGGCCGGCTACAGTCTGTCAGGTCACAGAGTCGGACATGACTGAGCAACTAACAGTACTACTACTAAGTGACAGGAGTCAATCTGAGGTTATATACTGCATGACCCCAACTATATGACATTCTGGAAAAGGCAAAACTATGCAGATGGCTAAAAGATTAATGACTGCCAGAGGTTAGTGGAGACAGGAAGAAGAAAAGGCAAATCAGAGGGTACTTGAAGCAGTAAAGCTACTTTGTGTGATCTATAACAGTGAATACATATCAGTATAAACTTGCGCAAGCCAATAAAATGTACAAAACCTAGAGTGAATCCTAACGTAAGCCATGAACTCTGGGTGATAATGATGTATCAATGTAGGTTTACCAGTTTTAACAATTGGGTCAGTCTGGTAGAAGATGTTGATAACGGGCAAAACTATCTATGGCAGGGGCCAGGGAGTATATGAGAAATCTTTGTACCTTCCTTTCAATTTTGCCATGAACCTAAAACTGCTCTAAAAAACAAAGTC